GTAAAGAACAACTGGAAAATGCCTCTAAGCACAATCAATATTATAACCACTTCTGTAGCATATTCGTTAAATTTATTACTTAGCACTGAGGTACGCAAAACAGTCCTGGGAAAACTTAGGAAGCAATAGATGTCTCAGTTGGGCAGGGCACAGTAATCTGAGCTACTGGCCTGTAAATAAAACCGATCACAGAAACGGACACAGAAATGTGTTCTGTGAAACTCTGGCTGAATCAATATTTCACTTCTTACTCATTCTAAATATATTTTTTTTTTTAAGAATTTAGTAGATTTCAGTATGAAAACCTTTTGTGTCCGATTTTGTACCTTGTCGGATGGAAATAAATATTTTTTATTTACAATAACATTTTATCACATTTTTATTTTACTACTGTCCAAGGTTTCGGATACTTTGCAGCAGCCGTGGCCGCGAAGGGGTAAAACGTTAGAAGTATTTAAAAATAGGACTTATATAAACAACGAACTACTTATAAAAAAATTATAAGTTGATATGACAATCAATAATTACCATCCAACAAGAATAGAAAAAGGCATTTCATAATGTCTTCCTTGTAAACAAGAATGGCCATTACCCAGCCATAAATTAATCCGCGTTAGTGTTGCCAGATTGACATAATAACGCGTCCACAAGAGGTTGGGTTTTTATCGCAGTACTATCAATCAAACGTCGACATCGCGGCGGCTTCCGTGTGAGAAATAACTTTCTCTCAATCTGACACATTCTTTACTAGATGTGCCTAATTATACTATAGCTGGTCCGGCAAACGTTTTGTTGTTTGCAAGGTTAATATTGAGTGTACGATTTCTTGAAACGTATTACATCGCACGCGACGGACGTCGTTAAAGTTGAATATTTTTTATCCCGTTTTCTACATATTCTCCGCTCCTATTATATACTATATAGGGATGTTATATAGCGTAAAACCTTCCTTGATAAATAATCTTCCAAATACAAAGAATATTTGAAGTTGAACCAGTTATTCCAGAGATTACAATGCGCGTAAAACCTAACTCTTCAGTTTTATAATATTAGTATAGATAGCACCAGAATTGCGCAAAGAATTGTCAAGAGACGTAAAAAAATGTGCTACCTCATATTTTTATAACTGTGAGGTGTTTAGAATTAAAATAGGCATTAATAGTAATAACGATCCATAAATAAATTTTAACATAAATTTAACAAAGTATTTTCTGTAGTTTACGCGATTAGAAAACATTTAAATAAAACACTTATAATGCGACTTTTAAAAGCTTAAATACAATTAATTAAAAATATATTTTGCGTTTTGACACCGCTAAAAGTATATATTTAAATTGAACTCGAGGCATTAAATGAGGTTTTAAGATACATCTGCGGCTTATACCGCTAGAGAAACAGCTTAACAGATTAGCGACGTAACGCGTCACGTAACGTCAATCTTACCCTTCTATAAGATGTTATCAACGCTATCAACACACTATCATCATAAAATAATCGTAACGGAATACTGTACCTAATTAATAATGATTAATGACTCTTTGAATTGTAAATTTGCTTATTCTAAGCCGTCGGCCAATGTGATTTGAGTAAAAAGGCGATTTGTGACTAACAACGATATTCACACCACAATATAAGGCGCGAATTAATTTTAGCACCTCAGTCTTCTTAAACGGGCGGCCTAAAGTGAAACCTCGTTTTAATATTAGTAGAATTACACACAGACACATTTTTGTAGCTATTTTTGTAACAGATTTTATTTAGAAAATTATAGTAGGTACGTCTATTCTCGGGATTTAACCAGATTTTCCCACTAGTCATTCTACTCATCATGTGTCGTATTTGCTGAGATCTAAAAGAATTAGATTTTCTCTAACCAAAACAAAAACACAAACTCTCCCTATACGCCGAATTTCAAACACATTCTGACCATACATGGGTCAGTTTATCCACAACGCCACTATCTAGGTATATAGGTAATTAGACTTTTCCAATTTTGTACTACTTTAGGGAAAACATTTGGTACCTACATTATCCCCGCTGTCAGTCAAGTGCCAAGATCCGTGTCGCGTTATACGCAATGTTAATGGCGTTATGTTGGGACATATTTAGACAACATCACATGTCAAGTTAAAATATGAGGCAATAAGGGCGCTGAGGACTCGGCGACAGCAGTGTCACGCTTTACAAATTACGATTTATGAACTTATTAAAATGTCCTAAAAGCTTCTTTTTTCTTCGTTGATGTTGCGTTTGAGTGGGCTAAAATTACACGCTGCCAACTTTACTTCCGATTAAGTAGTTCTTCTAATAATGGCCCAGTAAAAATACTAGTAACAGGTTAAAACGAAATTTATTAATTCAACTTATTTAAAAATTATTTATACATGATTGGTGACCAGAGCTACTGTAAAGCACCCGAAACGTCGGGTCGTAGTTAAAAAATTTTTTAAATGAATTTAACTAATACATTTCGCGTTCTCAACCGTTAAAAATGTTTTATTTAAATGTATTACTTTCTAAACTAAGGCAGTATTAACAAAATTGCAATGATATCAAGGGGTATGGGTTTCCGAGGCGTATGCTGCAAAAACTGTTCAAGATACCCAAATAATGTGCATGAAAGGAGAATTCCTCTTTTAATTATCTAAAAAAAAGTCCGCAACGGTAGGTATATGTATATCTTTTAAGTTTAACTTGCAAGAACGACGGAAAGGGACGCGACCGACGTCGTGGATAATAGCGATAATTTAAAGATGTGGAGAAGGTTTGAAAAATAACTATTCTACGCGGACGAAGTCGCTGACACAGCTAGTCCAATATATAATTAGAGAAATCAAAGTCTTCTATCTTTACTAATTCAAAGTAAAGATATGCTAAAACTATCTAATTAATATCAATCAAATCGTTGTATTACTAATGTGAAAATTAGTCAGAACATTAATACAGGCAATAAAAACATCATACGACTAATGAAGACCTGCAATCGATACATAAAACGAAGAATCTCCCAATTACTATTAACATATAAATTACTATGGCTTAGTGGAGATCGGCAACATCAAAGGTTTATAGGTTCACACGGACCGGTGTTAACTAGTTAAATCCGGAATATTTGAACAAAAAATACCGATACAGTTATGTCTACGCCACATGTGGTACAACATTTGACACGCGCGATCTGCCTCTTGACGGATGGCGACAAAAAATCTTGTTTATGGATCTACTTAACATACTTGACGTTGCTGCAACTTGAATACTGGTGCGTAACTGTTTGTCTATGACCCGCCCACCGTTTGGCTTTATCTGTGGTTGTTGTTGATATGAGAGAAGCTATGCTTCAATAGAGGTGACTGTTTGTTTTGCACTGCTATTTTTGTTATAAGCAATAGTTATTTTAAAGAATTATCACTAAATCCTTAGTTTTAGTATTCTGTTTTACTACTAAAAACAAAAATGCAATGAAAGCTTTTAATGGACTCCTGTAAACTCCGTTTCTTTATATCTTTAATAAATTAAGAGATAATCCTTACTAATATTATAAATGCGAAAGTAACTCTTTCTGTTTGTCTGTGACTCTTTCACGCCAAAACTACTAAACGGATTTGAATGAAATTTGGTATACAGGTGGTCTAGAGCCTGAGAAAGGACATAGTCTAATTTTAATTGCGAAAAGGGGGTTGTTAGGGGTTAAAAGGGGGTGAAAGTTGTAATAGAACAATGAAACTTTCTTCTTTGGTTTTTGGGAGTGGTAGTGGGAATTGGGGAAGGAGTGGGAGTGGGAGTGAGTGTACTAATGAGAGTGGGAGCTCAGCCTCAATAATTAAAAATTCTATCCCAAGTCACTATTACACGCGGACGAAGTTGCGGGCACAACTAGTATCTTTATAAACACGACATGCTAGTTAGGTTATTATTTCTAGGAGTGGAAACTTTTATATATTTTCGTACCCTCGCGTACATAACAAGAAACAACAATAATTCTTGTTGAGTATATTTTACGTAAGAAACGTAGTAGTGGACTTTTTTAGTCGGAAATAAGCCAGCAAAAACAGAAACAAAGAGAAGGGCGCAAAAAGCGTGACGGACGCAACCGACATCTGCCGGCGACGCGACGGTGTGGTGAATCGTCAAATCCATGTGTTGGATTCGATGAGGATTTTTCAGAAACTGCTCAATCACCATGTCGATTTTAACGCTCTATATTACTATGGCGATGGTATAGCTGTTAAAATCGCTAAAGCACCCGTGGAGAATTCCTATAATGAGCTATTTCTATATAACAGAGCGGTAAATTATTATGCGAGAGAATATTTTGTTTCGCTTCGAGATACGCAAACATTTGAACGCTGTCAGAGTTAGGATTCAGACAGGTATAGGCTAACGAAACTCGAATACTTTTTTGGTGTGATCGTTTTTGTTATTATTAAAAACAGCATTTCTACGCTCCTAAGCGAAGGTCGTGAAAAGAATTTATTCAAATGTATCTATTAAAATTTCAGCTATCTTTATCTTTTAAATAAAACACTTTAACGGTTTAAAACGCGATATATTTTAGTTAAACTTGTTTGAAAAATATTTTTAAACAACTTAAACTAAAATGTATCGTTAAAGTGTTTTATTTAAATGTGTATGCTCGCGTAAACTACAGACAGTATTCATCTTTATCTCGTTTTAAGCAGTTTTTATTTATATTTCCATTTTATTAATATTTATACTGGTTTTTTACAATTGTAAGCGAAAGCTTATAATAAATAATATAAAAGAAGAAAAATAACATGGTTTCAAAAGGGGAAGGAAAGTTTTTATCTATTAATGTCAGTTTTAATTCGTTGGTATGACTACCGGGAATATATTTGTGTCTGTTTTCAATTACTTTTTTCAATCGTCATTTCGTATAAATAAACAGATAGTTAAATTCCAAGTCATCCAGTTTTTGCAATATTTTTTTCCAATCACTAACTTGTATTCTAGGTAACGATAAGAAATAAAAGTGAAATTCGTTAAGTATTGGTCAACGGCGTTATTGTCGTCGGCGTTATGCCGTTATACGTCGTTATTGTGACCTGGAAATACAATTATAACGAATAATAGATCTTGAAGAGTGAAGGTTTTATACTGTAACGAATCTAACGAAAAATTTCGAAATTGTGCAAGAACGCGTTAAAATTGAGCTCATGGTAACGTCGTTATAAGAATAGATGAAGTAAATTTATAATAAAAATCTGAGAGAAAAACTAGGTTCCATTGTATGTAGATTTTAAAGCTTTCATAACGAAAATCAAACTTTTATTTTATTGACAGCTATTTAAGTAATCGCAACTACAAAAACCCCACATCTTTCAAAAGCGTCTCAAATGTTAACCCTTTTTTTTAAATTTTATTTGATTGGTATTTCATTTATTTTGTATAGTTGATTAGGTATTATAATAAATAATTGTTTCCTAGTCGGGTTGCCTGGAGGAGATCGCTTATAGAGATAGGGCCGCCCGAACCACTCTATAAGTTTAAAATTTCATTTACGGACGTAACTTTTAGTCATATAAATAAAATGATCTTCACCAACATTTTATATATAACATAGATATATTAGACAGCTTCATTTTATAAAGATAAGGAGGTTTTCAAAAAAAAAATTGGCATAGCCAAAATAACTATTTTATCCGGACAAAGTCGCTGACACAGCTAGTTTAATGATCAAATATGCCGTTAGTCTAAAGTATAGTATTATCTCATATTGGGAAATGAATAATATATCTCACAATGATCTATAGCCTATAGGCTTCCTCGAACCAATTTCAACGAATAGTTCCTGAGATAAACAAACAAACAAACAAATAAACTCATTCAGCTTCGTATATAGATTATAAGTAAACACGTACCTGTATTACTCTCATGGGGAGACCAGTTTCTTTCGCCAGTTGTTCCCGTATGTGTCTAGTTGGTTTCGGTGTCTGAGAAAATGCCGACTTTAGTATCTCCAACTGTTTCGCCTTTATCGTGGTGCGGGGTCCCCGTCGTTTAGAACCGCCGTTTCCGTCGTCTGGGGATTTGTTCTCTGCCTGCGAATCCCTGGTCTCCGGGTCACCGTCCAGTGAGCCCTGTGAGGGGAAGAGAAACAACTGAATGCGACTATGTGGTCAGTTCCCTTGCACGTTATATGGGATTGTCAATAATCATATAATTAAAAAGCTGGAAATGCTAGCACCTGTAAGCTCGTGTAACGGACACACATATATGTCAGCTACAATAAGTAATACTAATTTTTCGTTCTACTTACAATAAGTAAATTCTTTACTTATTGTAAGTAGAGACGTAAATATTAAACAGAAATAAGCCTACACCGAGAGCTTACAACAACTTAATTTAAATAAAACACTTTAACGGCTTAGAAAACGAAATATGTTTGTTAAACATGTTTATTAATCATTTGAACACGACTACTGCAATGCACCCAAAACATATATTTCGCGTTTTAAACCGTTAAGCGTTTCAACAACTTAACAAATAAACAAAAGTTCTTAAAGACTACACGATACTAATAATGTTTTTTATAAGATACATAAATAAAACCAACCTGGTCTTCAGAGTCCTCGTGGGGCTTAGTATCACCATTATGCGAAAGCTCTGAATGTAACGCCGGATGTGTAGCATGCGCTGGACTACTTGAATTGTTGGCTGTTCTCGATTCTTCGTCTTCTTCTTCATCTGATCCTGAACCTAATAGAGAATCCGCTGTAAAGAAAAGAGGGATTTTAGAAACAGTTACTTAGTCTTACTATTTACATATCACATATAAGTCATATATTAGAACCAGTAAGAATATATTTCTTTATTATAAAAGAAAGTGATACAACATCATAAAAGTAGTGATATTATAAATTACACAACCTTTAAATAAAACACTTGTAACGGTTTACAACACGAAATATAAGAGTTTAATTTAACTACGGCCTGACCTCTGACTCACCAGTAGTCACGGTGTAAATAAGTTTAACCTATACATTTCGTGTTTTAAAGCGTTAAGTGTTTAATTTAAATAATATAAGATACAGATAGTTCTTCGCTATATAGGTAAGTTAAACCTAGATGCATTTTTTTTATGTTTAGACTCTTACGCTAAATGATATACAGGATAATATATAAAGCTGAAGAGGTTGTTTGTAAGATTGAGCGCAAACTCAGGAACTACGGGTTCGAATTAAAAAAATATGTATTTTGTCTTGATTAGGCTTTATCGAGGAAGGCTTTAAAACATCGCGCCGTGACCTATAGAAGCGAAGATACAGCGGGAAAAGTGAACGAAACGAAGTAAATTTTTCATCTCTGTGGGCGTCAGATTCGCGTACGCCCACAGTGCGAAAAAACGGTTCAAGATACCTAAAAAATGTGTATAAAAAAATGATTCCTCTTAAAATGATCTAAAAAAAAGTCCCCGAGGCTGTATGTCTATCTTTTAAGATTAACTTGCAAGAACGACGGGAAGAGACGCGATCAACGTGGCTTAAGTTTATAAAGATGACGGGGTTTGCAAAAACTAATTTTGGATATTATATAACAACTAATAACGATTCTTGCGGACGAAGTCGCTGGCACACCTAGTACAGGATAAAATGTTAGCAAATTGACAAGCAATAAATAGTTTTATAACTAATAGAAATATCGTCCCTTCAACAAAATACCCTTATAGGAATATAGCCCGCAGTGTAATGACTAAAATTGACTTATCAAAAAGCAATCCCGCTCCCCTCCGCCCTCTTAACTATGTAAAATCTAATTTGAAGAGCGAGTCCCCACGCGGAGGAGAGAAAAAGAATTTACCACAAAAACAATTACTAAGGCCCTCCTAGAAAAATGGCAATTTCTTTCGAGATAAATGAAATGTGTTTTACTATGCCACAACCTATATAAATAAATCAAATTGAGGTAGGTCAGTTCATAAACTGGACGATGAAAAAAGTAATTTTACGGTAATTGTTGAATCCATTTTATATTGCCCTTCATATAGCATACCTGTCATATACAAAGATACCAAAACGGTTTTAAACGCTAAATATACGAGTTAATTGTTTTTTATTTTATTTTAACTATAGTTCTATCATTACATTACGTAATTATAATGTAAAATAAGTTAACTAATATAGATCACGTTTTAAACCGTTAAAACTGTTTTAATTAAATGTGTGCTACTCGCGTAAACTAAAGTGTTATAAACCCAGAAGATCCATTTTTTTTAAGAAATCAGTCCTACTTTAAATAAAAACGTTATATTTATAAAAAACTACGACAAGGGCGGGTCCTGAACCGGCATCCGCAGTTTCGTGCTGTTGCTCTAACCAATAGTGCTACTGTATCCTACATTTACAAAATATTAAAGTTTTAAAATGTCATTTCACTTCGTTTCAATTACAGGGTAAGTATCGAGCTTCGTATATTGTTATTGTTTTATTCCTTACTGTTTTGATATCTTATGTTATACAGTACACAAAATAACAGTAGGGATACGATCTTTTTTCCCATAGAAACTGATAAAACATACGACGTGTAAACACACATGTAGATTATTTGGCAATTGTTCGAAGCTCGATAGCGGACACTTGAAACTAAAACGTCCGTTCACTGAGTGCCCTCTCCCTTGTTTTATAAGTTTGGCAAACACTCCTCGTTCGTAGGTACCAGAGCCAGAGTGGAGTGCTTTGAAGAGATAATGTTGGTAAGCGTTGGCAAATATTTGCCCACCTTTGAACTTGTCTAGCTAGCGTGTACTTTGCCTGTTTTAAAAATGTAATTTTCATTTCATTGCTTTTGATACCTACTGTTGCAAAGAAAACTGTCGCTTTGTTACCGTTTATTATTAAATGATGTCTGTTTACAATAAAATAAAACTATCAACAGTTTAAAACGCGAAATGTATTATTTAACTTAACTACAATTTATTTTTACTACGTTTCGGATGCTATGCAGCAACCGTGGACACAAAGCAAGAATTGTACCTAAGTAAGCTAATGCACTACGTGTTTTAAACCGTTACAAGTGAATTATTTAAATTATAAAGAATAAAGTAAAAGTAATGCTAAAAGGAGACTGCGTCAGCATAAGTTGTAGCGCAATATGTAAGCTCTTAAAAAACCTGTAATTAATATAAATGTTAACAATAGTTATTATTAAAGCTTCAAATATATAGAACATGCCTTTGACAGCCATGACAAGTTTAGTTAGATTTTGTCTGGACTTTGCGACATTAAACCGAAAGAATATTTTTAAAGAATTACCAAAGCTGTCTTTCTTTTAAAGTTTCCGAAAGTCAAATGTTTCAGCTCACTAGGATATGAGAATATAGATAGATATAGTTCCTAATTCTACGTCTTACGTTAAGTCTCGTATATGCTATAAGAAAGTTGGGTTAATTTGTTTCCCTAACAATGACTTGCTTATCCAAGGAAACGCAAGTCAGGCAGGGAAAAAAGTTTCAAGATTAATAGAAGTCGAGTCCCTTAGTCAACTCATTGCTTCTCATTGTAAGTAGTATAATAGATATTCTTATATATACTATTAATTAGTAGTAGTAGTTTTTATTACATATATCATAATAATAAATTATATTTTATGTTGAAGAACTATTATTGATGTAGTATACACATGTACATTGTGTAAGGCTTTTACTTTGACATGAAACCCGCCATCTTAAGTCTCCCCGTGACCACGTCAACGCATTCGAAACATCGGGTCATATTTAAAATAAGTTGTTAATAAGTCTAACAAATATATTTCACGTTTTAAACCGTTAACTACAGACGTTTAGCTTATTTTATTTTTAGGCTAGTATCAGAATTTTAAACCGTGCCAGATCGAAACAATTAATTGTAACCCCGGGCTTCGAACCTGACCTGCCTCATTAAATAATGGCTCTTTTGGGTTAAAAAAGCCCAAATGAAAACTAATGTTAGTTGAAAAAAAGACGCTTGCAACATTTTGAAATTGTCATTGATGATTTCATCAATATTTGGCTCTGCCATCCGTAACTTCTGATTAACCCAAGGAAGGTAAATACATGGGTAGGTACATACTCAATTAAAAAATAAATTATTCAAAATCAAATAGATGAAATCTCCCCTAATCGAATCTATTCTATCTATTCTTATTCTATTATCTTTTCGTAAAAACCGGTGACTATTGTTGACGAATTCATAAGATTTCTCCCCTGTTAAAACTTCTAAGGCTTTGTTGATTTTCACTTTTGATTGGATGTGTTTTTTTAATCATTTATAGCATGAGGAAACTGGAATTTACCTCGTTGATTACGTCTATATATTTATCCTATAAATTTACTATTTATTATTTCTTTGTTCATCAAAATCTATGGCCTAAATTACGTAACTACAGGTTAAATTTAGAGATCTAAAGTTTACCAATTTCTAATTTATTTGTGATTCAGATGCAGCAGCCGTGGTTATGAAATATTTCGGGTTTTAAACCGTTTATATGGCAGAATGCCTATGAATTTAAATGAAACACGTTAATGATTTTAAACGAGAAATGTATAACTGTCGACTACTAGTAACTTATTTAAAATTTATTTTAACTATGGTCCGACGTTTCAAGTAGGTACATACAACACAGATAATTCTTAATGAAGAAAGCTACATAATGGAAACATTTTTTAATGTATTGTTGTGTTCTGATTAACATAACATCTGAATATTATGTATTAAATACGGAATTCAACAATTAAGATCTATTAAGAATTCAATCAGCACGATTCTTGAATAATTTCCCTCCAAAAAATATAATGACCGCTATCTCGGAATCTATAACAAGCTATTAGTGTGGAAAGCCATAAAAATCACAGATTACATCGTATTACAGGCATATTAAAGTTTGTTATAGCGTGTTTATGGGAGCGGCCGTTAATTCGAGACCACCATCTTAAATGTAAAATAAGAAACCGCGATAAGGATCTAAGAATATAAAAGATATGGGAATTCTTTGTGTTGCCGGTAGCGTCGGCTTATGTACGACGCCCATATACGGGATTCGGCGGATGCACACCGGCGCATTGATCCAGTACACGCACGGGGGCCCTATACGCACACACGGAACGCTGGGAGCCGATTGGTGGACGGCGGGCCGGCGCCACGCCCACATTTATCGACGTTGCGCGGCGGCGTGCGTGCGAAACGCTATATGTAACGTAGAGCGTATAAAGCCCGGTCGGAGCCCGTTTTTAAAATGTCATTTCCATCCGACGTTTGTGGGAAAGCACTTTGTTGTTTTTCAATGGCACTTTTCATTGTTGAAATCAAATTTCGACGCTCGCAGCATTTCAATTTGCGAGGGTTTCGGGTATATAATTTGGGAATATAGGTACATTCTTGTAGACGCAAGTGTCTTGTAGTTTAAGATTTAATTAACGGCTTATAAAAATACTAAACAATAAATTATATTTATGTATGTGTTCCGTAGATGTGCCTTATTTAGATTAATAAGGAGAATCTAGCTTAAATGTACCTACTTAAATCTAACTAAACATTTCTACGGATTTTAAAAATATTATTGCTACCTAACGAATTCGAGAATGGTACGGTCATCTATTTTTTTTTCAGTCAAACCTACCAAAAATTAATCTACAGCAAGGAAGAGAAAATCTCATATTTAACCTACAGCAAGAACCCCAATGGTCTCAGCGCAAAAAGAAGCTGTTATATAGCTAAGCTATTTCAACTTTCATTAAGTGAACTTCCATGCTTCTCTCATAAACAAACATATTATTGTATCTCAAATACTGGCTAGGCCAATCTATATCTTCCCAGTAAGTACGTACTAGGTTCGTCATTATCTAGCTAAGTGACTTGAATATCGTGACCCTGTCAACCCCAGGTAGCAAGGAACAATTGAAAAGCCAACCCGTGAGTTAGCTGTACCTAACCGCTTTTTGATTCGGCGCCGAAAGCATGGCGATGACTGTACGTTTTTATCCCATTGTAATATACAGTTCTGAAGTACGCGGGTAACATCATACAAAAATAGTTATATTAAATCACAATTCAAGAAAATATAAATTCGTATTATGTACGTCTATATTTTCTCTATTATGT